GCTGTACACATGTGCCTATACCAGCAAAGAAGCATATAGGTATAGGCATCTGCAGTGTGATGCAGCTGCGCAAAATTTGGGGCTGGACCAAATGACCTTACAAGGTCCCTTCCACCCCTAATGTCTATGAATCTAATGTCTATGAAAAGGTGAATGTAGTTTTGGTATGCATCAATAAAAGGATCAGGTACAAGATATGGGAGATGATAGTACCTCTCTTCTTAGCGCTTGTTAGGCCTTATTTGGAGTACTGTGTGCAGTTCTGGGCTCCACATTTTAAAAAGGACATGGAAAAGTTAGAGAGAGTCTGGAAGCAGGCAACAAAGATGATCAAGGGCTTGGAAAGCAAGTCGTATGAGGAGAGGCTGAAGAAACTAGACAAGTTCAGCTTGTGGGAAAGGTGCTTATAAGTCTACAAATATTTGAAGGACTGCCATAAAGAAGAGGGGAAACACCTTTTCTCTCTTGATGCAGAGAGGACATGGACCAATGGCAAGGATCGTTCAGAAAAACTTCTTCAATGTTAGAATAGTGAAGGAGTGGGATAGAGTGCCTAGGGAAGTTATAGACTTTCCGGCAGTTTGCAGACTTTAAAAAAACAAAGCATAATGATGCTTTACTTGAAACTTGGCACATTTCCACACCAAGCCAAGTGCATGCCCAAAAGAGGCAGTGTGTTAGTTGGACCTGGCTCACCCAACATTTGTATAAATCAGGCACTTTAGTAGGGCTTTTTGGCACTTTTAGCTGATTGACTCAGCTATTACATAAAAGTGTCAAAAAGCCCTGCTGAAGCGCCTGATCTATACAGACACTGCAGAGCCAGAGTAAAGTAATGCACTGCCTCTTTCAATAAAGCATAATTTTGTTTTGCTTTTTTTTTTCTTTTTAAAACATCTGCAAGCAGCCTTCATCACTGGAAGAGTTCAAGACGACAGACAGCCACTGGTCAGGGATGATCTACTAAAGGTATTTCCCATACTTCTGGGCTTTGCTGGTTGCCCCCATCCACACTTTCTGCTACATGCGTCATGGTGTTTTTAAGCCTTCCTCAGAGGCATTGAGCGTTGGCTACAGCTAAGGCAATGGCCAGATTTGGGCTTAGGAAGGAATGTTTTACCCCATGGTCAGACTGATACTGATTGTAGGAATTTCTGCCTCTCTCTGAAATGGGGGGCATGGACCTCCACCTGGGATCTCTTGAGCATATATAGACAACATTTCACAGAAGCAGTACACTGGCTGCCATGGTTCCCCTACTTTACCATTGGCAGTTTAGGATGGTGTCTTGTATTGTGTCAGATGGAAGTCTTATGCAGAGTTTAGATTATGGATTTGTACAGGATGATTTGAATAGGGATGATCCTGCCTCAAGCAGGGGGTTGGACTAGATGACCTCTGAAAGTCCTTCCAGCCCTACTTCTCTATGACTGTGTATGTGTATGAGTACATTGTTTCTGGAGCACAAGAGGAGGATGACTACCCAACTTGTGATGCTCCTAAAGTCCTCTGTGACAAAAGCCATGAAGAACTGATGCCTACTTGTCCTCAAGACACCAGGTTCTATTTAGAAATATACATGCCCTCCACAGGCTGGCAACAGTCCCTGATTTTCTGGACTGTTGCTGCTCTTGGTTGGAATAGTATAAGAGGGAGTGGAAGTAATATTGCATTATACATATACACACCAGCAAAAAGCTCCTCATAATCGATGCCCATGATTAGTGCTTTGTAGAGCATGTGTCCCTTCTAGGATATGTTTAAGTCTGATTTCATACCAGAACTTCTTCAAACTGGGAATCTGTAGGAGAGGAGATGATCAGAGTCTGCATTTGCCATATGTACAGAAGCAATTTCCTTAATTTAAATGTTGAGAAGTTTCTCATTCTAAATGCAGCAATTGGTATGAAGAGGTGTACAATTTGCAGCATTATTTTGTACCATTTTGAGACATTAATGATGATTCATTCTTTACCATTTGAACAGTTCTACCATTTTAAACAAATGCTTATTACAGCATTTCTTACCCAGAGGGAGAGAGGGAAGACTGCTTAACACAATCCATTAGGAAATTCAAGCCTTAAATGAAATGACCACAACGTCCTATCAGCTCCCTGAAATGTAGCAGCTGTACATATTTATTGTAATGCAACACTATATTGTTACAGAGATATGCTGTTTAAAACATGCATAAGGCAAGTGAAACGTGACCATTTTACTCCTCTGTTTGAAAAATGAGAAGGTGTAGAGTGGCATAACTTTTCAAATACACAAATAAACATTAGACTCATAGAGAAGACAGGTACACGGCTAGACTAGTAATAACGGTTTAAAGGTTATCAGTTAAATCTGAAACTATTGCAACCCTTGTTACTTTGATCTACCACTCAGTCTCTCAAGGTCCTGCTCTACTCACTAGGCTGTAACAAGCATAAGGACCTGTTGAATTCTACTGTACCTGCCTAAATCCAAAAGCAGAATTAAAACTCAGAGTATTGGACTTTGTGCCTGTTCATATTTAACTCCACGACTAGAAGCGGGAAAGTTCTAAATTAAATACAGTGGAAAAGATTTTGTTCTCTTGTACCTTCATGCAAACCCAGGATCTCACAGGAATAGGGCAGAATTTGGCTCCTAAGTTTAACTTGAAGAAGGGCTGCTCTGCTAGCTCAGTTCCTGGTAACCATGTGTTGCCTAACCATACACTGCCATGTACCTCAAGATGTATGAGAAATCATGACACACAATGACCCCTCAGATTCATAGAAAGAAAGCCAGCTACTGTAGTGACCTCTTGGAATAAAGCTAAAAGCAATTTATTGAGATGAAAATGTGCACTTAAAAAGATTAGGAACTTATAGTGTTGAGATATAAAGAAAACAGTTACTTATACAAGAGATTTCTACCTGAGAAGGAACTAAAAATGTTTGGAACTGTTTAGTTTAGGGAAAAGAATAGAAGTGATGTGTTAAGACTAAGAATGAATAGTAGAAAGGGTAAATTGGGTGCTCCTATTTTTCCATTCTCATAATACAACAATCAATGAATGATTCACCTGTGAGAACTTCTAGCCACAAATTATCATTGAATCCTACTACTCCTGGATTCATAAGAGAATTAAACATTTGTATGTATAATGGCAACAGCCACAATTACATTACATAACATTTTTGCACGTTTGTTTTAGATGTAATATAAACTCTCTACTTTGTGATTAGTGCTGCAGTAGGGACTGTCGGGGACTGGTTATTTCACATAATCATACTCTTCAGGGTTTTATGCTCCTTCTTATCACACACTTGGTACTGGCCACTATCAGACATAACGCTACCTTAGCTGGGTGAGCCCTTGCAATTTCTGTGTTCCTAGTTACTAACTTACTCAAGTCAGTCTGCCATTGAAGCCATGGGATTTCCATCCAAAAAAGAACTAGATCCTTTGTCACCCGAATATTTCACACACACACACACACACACACACAGGAATTTCACCATCAGTGACATAAATATCCAATGTTGTTACTCTTCTTACATGAAAGAGAAGTAATTATACATTTTTCATATGAAAATGTGGAATCTCTCAAGTATCTCTCTTTCACTCCTACTATAGTTCCACCAGACAAAAGGAGATAAACACCACTCTTTACAGAAGATTTCATGTGATATTTTTAACATGCCTATCTGCTCCAGTGCACATTATGAGCTTGATTCTCAAAGACTGCCCCTAGAATTCCACTCTGCTGATTTTTGCAGCCTAATTCTTCAGGCTTTTTTGGAGGGGTGGGGGAGGAGGCAGGATGAGGTGACCCAAATTTACAAAGAAGGATTGCAGCAACAATGTATCTTGCATTTAGAACCCATAAGTATATATAATACCTAAATTTGTTTTTACTTCAGATTGCAAATGTTAAACTTGGCTTTTTAAATTATTGTTAATCAGATAGACGTTGAATGTTCTGAAGCACGAGGGGAAAATAGGAAGGATTTTGCAAATAATAAAGCTTTCTGCGTCAGTGATTAGAATCCAAAACCTCATTACATATTCTACTACTTATACTAACTGCTATTGCTATATTTGCATCAATTATACAAATAGTGTCCATTATTCATAATGCTGATATGTTTATTTTTGTTTTTAAAAACCCCAAAACATGATGCATTCTGTGGTGTGGCAACAACAGTTCCTAAAATAACTACTGGGCATTTTCAGCCACTGAACTCTACAGATTATATCATTTTTGTGGACATTTCATTGGACTTTGGGAAACCAGACCAATATTAGAGTTGTATAGTATTTTAACATGAGACAAACTAAGTTTAAGAGTGGAAGGGTCCTCAAGTTATTGCAAATATGTTTAATGCTTCTTACCCCCACAGCAAGCCAAGAAGTCTGAATATTTAAGTAATAGATGCTTAACTGTTTATATTTAAAGATAAACTTTAGAAATATCAAACTACAGTTCTGAAACAAAGCTCACTGATGTCAGCGGAAAGACTCTCATTGCCTTCACTGAACTTTGAATCAGGCCCTAAATACATATATGCCTGTAGTCCTGATCCTGCTGCCACTGAAATAAATGGCAAAATTAGCATTGATTTCAGCTCAACAAAAGTCAGCCCCTGAATAAAATTAAGACCCGCGTACCTACCTCTGTATAAACTGTTAGGAAGATTCTTCCCATACTGTTGCATGTGTACTTAGATCAGAGATAGAATTGTGACTATTTTATTGGGTATTACTAGTTATGTCTACTTAAATTCATCCACCCTCATCAAACTCAAGCATCAAGCTGAGAGAAATTGAAAAAACCAGGTTACACATTAGTAAAGGGGTTGACAGTTCAACAGATGATACGTATGGAAAGGTAGAGGGAAACACACAAAATGGAGAAAACAAAAAACCAAAATAATGCCTTCTACACCAGATGGTAAATGAAACTCTACCTGGGTCGTAATCAGAACTAGGCCTATGCAGTTTATGTCTTTCCTTAGTTCTCTTACCTTGTTTCTCTTGAAATAAGCTCTTCGGCAAGCTGCAAAGCACTTCTCGCTGCAGAAACATTTCACTTCGCTTCCCATACTCAGGGAATAGCGCTTGATTCCCACTTTCTGGCACCAGGCACACATTATTTGTACATTTGACACATCATCTTCTACAACAAAAATATAAGAATAATGTTTACATCAGATGTAAACAACCCATCCAATATCTATACATTCAACTTCAGAAATCTATTGCATTGACTTGTTTTATATCTTCTTTCATCACTCTTTGTGACTACAAATATGCAGGCTTATGATTAGCTGCTTGTTCCTTAGGCACCTGGTGGCCTGTGCCAATCAGGCTCAGTACAATGGCAGAGCTGCTAAGATGGTTGGAAAAGATCATTAGCTTAAAATATGGTGCACTGCTGAAAAGCTCTCAAAATACTTGAGGCTTTTCATCATTTTTAAAAAAGAGTGCCTAACCAGTAACCAATACTATAAACTAATATACTAATCCTCTTATATTCCCGTTACTTACAATCCATTATCACATGTGCCTAAGATATCCTGCTCAGCAATTTACTGATAAACTATGCGTGGAAGTAACTGCACCAAAGCATTGTACTATTACTCTGATGAAGGCTCTTCCAAAGCAGGATTCTAAACAGAATGTTAGGAATTAAAAAAAAAAGTCTTGTTAGGTTGATTTAGATAATTACTAGAATGAGAGGCAGTTTTACCTAAGACGATCGTAATAACAAACTTGAGCGAGAGGTAATATACAACACTGTGGTAAGAATTACTTAGACACTTTGCAGGCTTTAACATAGTTGCTTGTGTAAAATCTTAGTTCACTAAGTATTATTTCACTCCGTTTCAAGCTCTTTTGACATATATGTAGAAATTTAAATTTTTATTACATTAATTTGGCATTACAATTTCCCTGAATTTTAGGATGAACATATTAATGCATTCAAGTGAATACAGCTTGCTACTCAAAAAGCCATTCTTCTTGCCTTCATATATTACTACCTCCTCATGCCTCTACTGTATTTCGTAACTATTTTCTAGTACATCTGTGGTACTAACCTAATCTTTCTGTTCTCTAAAAATCCAGCTTCCCTTTTCACAATGATATTCTTTGTTACTAGATCCTGCTGTTCTAACCTATGCTTTTTGTCTTATATATTGAATCTTTAAAAGCTGTTGTCACCATAAATTGGATTCATATAGCCAAGGGCAAGAAAATCTGAAGTAATAAGACTTACATAGTATTTTGTGTCTTCAAATCTTGACAATGCCCTTCTGAGGTCAGTATTCTTATCCCCATTTCACAGAAGGGGAAACTGAATGGTTAAGTCACTGGTGCAAAGCAATAAAATAAATCAGTGGCAAACCTGTGATTTAGAACTCAAGGTTCTACTCCAATATCCAGTCCATTAGACAGTATGACCTTTCAGTCACTGATACCAGGCATTGTCTGATTTAGAAAAAATTTCCCCAATGACTAATTGTTCAAGCAGTTTCTAGTGCATGAGCTGTAGAGAATTCATGGATCAGAGAGTCTGTCATGCAGGCATCCCATTCCCCTGTAAAGGATTTGTTTTGAAGCAATGCTGTCATCATTCTACAAAATTATTGGCAAACTAATTTTTAGTAGAGTGATTTGGCTCCTCTCCCTAGCTATCATAACTCAGGGCTACGTGCTGCATTTTATTCAACTTAACGGAATAAATATTGCCAGTTTAATAACTTTTTTCCTTCCACAAATTGTGTAATGATTTATAGTTGCAAATAAAATTGTACAATGTAAAAAACTGACCTTTTAGATTTAATCACACTGTACACCTTTAAAACTATATTTAAGGCCAAGCTATAATGTAGATTTGTGTTTAATATACTGTAATGATGGCCCTTTATCATTTACTCTTCAGAGTGGAATTTGCCAAAATAATATAAATGTTGTAATATATTTAATATCAGAAGAAATCAAAATACTTTGGGCTAAATAGCAACCAGCCATGCAGGAGTTCAAGAAGCCTATGCTAAAAGGTAGTTATTATCTGGTGGTAGGATACTTAGGAACGTAGCAGAGGCATAGCAAGCTCATTGAGCACCCAGGAAGTGGGGAAGGGACATAGGCAGCAGAAGGTGGGGGCTAACAGAACTAAACCCCGCAAAACGCGGAGCAGCGGTAGGGTGCAAGGCAGCCTGGCCGCAGTCTTCCAGCAGCTGCAGCACAGGTGGGGAGGGACACGCACACAGTGGTGATGGAGGGAGTGAAACTGGGAGAGGCCAGGCGCTGCACAGTTGGGGTGGGGTGTGACTGAGCCATGAGCAGCTTGCCCGGTGGGCATGGCTCCTGCTGCTACACGCACCCTGGGAGACATGGGAAGCGTGTGCCCCCAGATCTGCGCAGGGCAGGGCACACTGCTGCTGCAAGCTGGGGCTAGGGCTGCACTGGACTCTTTCCAGCAGGGGTGGGGGGTAGGCTACACTCAGGGTGGGGGGGAGCATGGGGGGGGCTGCTGCCACCCAAAATTCACCGTAGCCCCTCTCAACCCTCCTCCCAGTGCTGCTGCTGCCCTCCCTGAGCTCAGCGTGGCCCAGCCCCCACCAGGAAGAGCCCAGCACAGCTCTTGCCCCAGCTCCCAGCAACAGCCCTCCCTGCCCTGGGCAGATCTAGGAGCACCTCCCCCCGCCCCCCCATGGCCTCCTGAGGCGCATGCAGTAACAGAAGTCACCCCCTTCTCCCCGCCCCCAATGAGCTGCTCGCGGCTCCGTCCCACGCCCTGCCCCAGCTGTACAGGGCCTCCTCAGCCCCAGCCCCACTGCCCCCACCACAATCCTTTCCCTTCCCCCACAGACTTATCTGCTGGGCAGTGTGCACATGTGCTTAGCCCCCTCAAATAATTTTTTCTCTCTCTGCCTATGGGAGGGGGTGGCTCTGCACATGAGGGAAGGGAGAAAGTCTATGGTGAAGAGAATGAAAGACAGCTCTACTCTGGCAGCAGCAGCCACATGGCTGGGCTCCTTGGTACCCTGTTCATTCCCCCCACCAGATACAGGAATATTAGGTGTAGGGTTGTGCCTGCTGTGACAAAGACTACCTGGAGATTGGGGGAAAGTGCCATTCTACTCGCTCCATTTGCCCCTGTCCCCCAGATACACAACTTAGTGTGGCAATGCACTGCCCAGTTCCTACAGCAGTACAGGGCTGCCACTGCTATGCCTCCTTCTACTTGGCACCCAGGCTGGGGCTCTGCTCACCCTACCCTGGCTACACTACTGCAGCAGAAGCTAGCAAACCAGTCTGCATAGTACCATTATACCTCCAGCCCTCCCCTGTGTACCAGAAGAACTACACTGGCAAGACTGCTAAGTATACCAATTTAACCATGAAGCAAGAACCTTTTCTAGCACACTCTCCCTGACCCTTGGCAGGGAGTATGCTTTGGAGAAGCCTCATTGCTGAGAGTTTGAGATCTTAAGGAAAGGAAGGAAAGAGAACAGCAGAATAAAAGCAAACTTTAACAAACTCCCATAACATCCTGAGGCAAGCCTAAGAGGAAAAGGATACCGAGAGTCGGTTGCATCTTAAAAAGTCCATAGTATGCATGCAAAGTCAGGTTATCCTACTGCAGAAGACAGATAGGAAGTACAGTGGGATACCAGCCTGGCGAGACAGTGAATTCTTCACGAAGCTGAAACTCAAGAAGAAGAAATGTGCCAATATTGCTAGGGATTAGCATTAGAGTATGGTATGGACATGAAGGGGGAAAAAAAAAAAGAATCAGGAAGGCCAAGCCATGCAGCTATCAAGGGACAGACCATATTTACTCACATACCACATGTAATTTTTTTGCTCAAAAATCAACCCTCCAAAATTGGGGTACATGTCTTAACTGGGGTAGCTAATTTTCTTCACTAGGATAGAAACATAAAAATGCTGTGTTACAAAATGATTGCTGGCTTCTCTCAACCAGCAAGAAGCCAGCAACCAGTATTTCCCCTTTCACAGCTGCTCTCAGGTTGCAGGCTGAGAATGAAACTGGTAGCCATTTTGCAAGGGATCTTATCCATGAGAAACTCAGCTCTAAGCCACAAGGCTGGAAAAATCTTTTTTCTAAGATTTGCCTTCCAAAAACAAAGTGCACATCTTATTTGGGGACATGTGGCATGTGAGTAAGTACAATAGGAGGCAACCAAAAAAAAGCAATTTATAAGTATGTTAGAAGTAAAAGGAAGATAAATGAAAGTATAAGTCTCTTACTGAACAGAGGGGGGGCATTCTAATAATGGATGATGTAGACAAGGCTGAAGTATTTAATGCTTTTTTTTACTTCAAGAATAAGGTCAGTTATCAAATGACGTGCATATTTGGCAGCAAGGATGGGGAGGAGATAATCAGCATAGAGTAGGGAAGAACAGGTTAGAGATTACTTAGAGAAGCTGGATGTTTTTTAAGTCTTCAAGGATGGATGAAATTTATCTTAGATTACTCAAGGATTTTGCTGAGATAATTGCAGAGCCATTGGGTGTTATCTTTGAGAACTCATGGAGGTTAGATGAAGTCCTGGACTACTGGAAAAGGGCAAATATAGTGCCCATCTTTAAAAAAAAAAAAAGGGGAAGTAGGAGGATCCAGACAGTTTGACATTGATCAGTCTGACCTCAACACCCAGAACAATTATGAAACATATCATCAAGGAATCTAATTCTAAGCACCCAGAAGATGATAAAGTGATCTGGAATGGTCATCGTGAAGAAGATGACAGGCTTTGTGAATAGTAATGCAGAAAAGAACCCAGGGGTTACAGTGGACCACAAGCTGAATGTAAGTTAACAATATGCATTTGTT